GGGTAAATGATGATGTCAACTAGGTCATTGGTGCGAGGCTGCTAGTGAGCTATATCCGCGCTGAAGGTTAATCTTTGACAATATCTGACGATCGACTGTTTTAAATGAAACCAGAGAGCGTTGACAGAGAGGAGAAGTAGAAATGGGTCAGTCTCCAACTGAAAATATGGATGGAGGACAACAGAGCTGCTTCATGGAAGAAGAACCTCAGCTTAGCCTGTTAGCTTTAGCGTTGATGCTATATTGCCTTGTGTATATCTAGCGGGACAAACTAACAAGCTAAACTGTTGTCCTCCATCCATATTTTCAGTTACAGGCTGAGTCATTTCTACTTCTCCTCTCTGTCAACGCTCTCTGGTTTCATTTAAAAGAGTCGATCGTCAGATATTGTCCAAGATTAACCTTCAGGGTGGATATAGCTCGCTAGCAGACTCGCACCTAGGACCTATCCACGTCATCATTTACCCAGAATGCTTTAGGTGTAAATAAAATGGTCCTGTCCGTGTAATATATATATTTTTTAATTTAGTTTAAAAATAAAAACTAAAACAGCCTACAGTATTTTTACAGTCTTTATTTTACAGTTAAAATATATATTTATCAAATAAAGTCTAATGTTACAACTAACCATGGATCACTTTAACAAACTATTAATTACACACAACATAATTTTGCCCAACCTTACATAATGTGCAGCCCTACTCTTACTTATAAAATAGTTTTTAACCAAGTTGTTCTCTGATCTGCAGTAATGGACTGTTTATATAGCTACTGTACGAATTTAAAATGTTTATTTCAATGCAACCTTTGCAACAACAAGTCAGCAGAGTACTACAGAGTACAAGTTTTTTTCTATTTTCCATTATATTTATGCTCAGTGCAAATCAGTAAATTAATCAGAATGTTTCCAGTGGTGTTATTTTGGTCATAAAGAACATAAGAACTACCAGACTGAATGTTAGAAGTTGCATTAAAGTTATTTTTTTATACTAATGTCAATAATATTGATACAATAATATACATGCTGCCCCTAACAAAGGTATAAAATATAAAAATAAATAAATAAAAGAAGAAATGATTACTGGTTTTGCCACTAGCTGTTTAAATGAAATTTAAAAAAATAAATGACGTGTTTTGTTGTGTTATGCTCATTCATAAACCAACTCAGCCCAAAACAGTTTAAAATGATCTGGTTTTAAGAGCGCGTCGGTCCAAATCTTACATCTAATCCAACAACCTGGCTTCTTGACTCAGGCCTCTGTGAAAACACATTTCAATCTTTTAGTGAGAGCGAGACAGGGAGGGGAAAAAAGTGATTTACTTTGCCTCGTTTTTCTGCTTGCGTGTTTATTATTGTTGCTGTGTAAGTGCCTGGCATCTTGGGATCGAACGCTCCATCGTTAGTCCAAATACTCAAAGAGGGAGCCTACATCTTTTCTTCTTCTTCTTYTTTTCTTCTTTTGACAAAAAACACTCTCACAAAAACACAAAAACACGACCGACACGGCTCTTAGGAGAGCTAATTAAAGTGAGAAACTACCACAGTCATCTGATGCTTTCCTAACTCTAAACCTAATCTCAAAGAGCAGGAACAAAAAAAAAATTACCACAATTAAAAGGAGAACTATTATCTAGGAGGCTTCGTGAAACAGAGATATTATTGATAAAAGGATAASAGCCTACAAAGACACTGGAAAGGAGAAGCGGGAATGGAAGCTATTAAGACAATACTGGATATTCAGGCATCCCAATTAACACTTGTATCCCCAGGAGGGGCATTGTAGGGGGGGTGGTCTTTAATCTGTGTGAGCATGACTAAACAGAGAGCATACCCCCCCATTTATGCTGCAAGTTGCAGGAAAAAGGCACTAGATTGGGGCTGTTGCTAGCCATAGAAAAGTAAAAGCAATATACATTCAAAGCTCACAGGTTATCTGTCTGGGAATCGTTACACAAAAAGCACTTGTAGAAAAATAAAATGTAAAAAAGTGTGGCCCACCCCGCCCCACTGATAAGTTTCTTATTTTTGGATCCTGGGAAACAAGTATGGCTACTTTTTCACGGCTTCTTTTTTTCTTCTTTTTTTAAATTCGCCCCCTCACACCCGGCCYGACCCACCACCTAGAAGGCAATTCAGGAGCGATCCTCCAGTGCTCTGGCCGCGAGCAGTCGAGCCCTTTCATACACGCAAATACAAGGAACAGGAGAAGAGGAGGAGGAAGAGGAGGAGGGGAGGGAGCGAGGGGCCTTTCATGGCAGGGGRGGGGGGGGGGATGCTGTCGGCAGGAGGTCAAGTCTCAGCTTTCAGTGCGAGAAAGCGGAGAGGGAAAACTCAACAGAACGTGTGTCTTTAAAACGCTCAGACAGCAAAAAAAAAAAACCTGAGCCGAGACTTGGAGAACACACGGCGTGTTTGTGTGTGTGATGAGAAAAAAAATTTATCAGGGTACTACTCCACCTTAACCACACCACAGCCCTTTACAAGCACCAAAAACTTTTAAAAAATGCTTTTTACACACTATAAATACTTTATTCTGTAGACGTTTTTCATTTTATCGTCATTCATCACCTAATAAAACTGCAACCCAGACTAACGCGTCTACAAGAGGAGCTTTGACTTTACATCTGCTCCACATATTTTACACGATGTAGACCCCTTGATTTGATTTTACGTTCTTAGCAGGCACTATTTGAAGAAAGGAAAACGCTACGCTGTCCAAATAACGCCCAGAGTGTGACTTTACAGGCTCCGGTGACACAGCGGCTGGTGTGCGTCTTCAGCTCTGAGTCAAAGAGTTTCCGGTTTTTAATTAACTTAATGGAGAACAAGCTGGAGGCAGCCCTGCAGCCCAAATAATCTGTCAGGTAACCAGAAAACAGGAGCTAATGAGCGACTAAACACGACAAAAAGTCACCAGCGTTTAACGTGCCTTTCAAAGATTCACKTATCTCCAGCTTACAAAGGTAAGTTCAGCGTGTTTAAGCATTTTTTAAAGAGTTACGGTGCCAACAATTCGTGACAAAAATGTGTGTCGGGTTGTTCAGAGTGAAGCGTAACCTAAACGTGTTTGTGTCGGCGTGTGTTGGCGGGAGGAACGGAACCGGCTGTTTGTGCTCAAGTTTCATAAACAAAACAAACAAAAAAAGACATCAATAACCACGAAGACATCTCTTAAACCTCAGCAGTGCTCTCTCTCTCACACACACACACACACACATGTGCACAGACAAGCTCACATTCGCACAACTCAAGAGGACTTTGGGAGAGAAATGAGGTCCAGCTGACAATGAGGGGTGGGGGCGGTGGGACTGGAGTGTTGTTCCACTAAGTTAGGAGTGTACATGTGAGGAGGAGGAGGARGAGGAGGARGAGGAGGGGAAGTATTAGGTTTGCAAAAGGCCGGAGCGATGTAAGTGCAGGAAGGCGAAGGAGGGAGTGGGGGGCGAATTCCACAGCTCAGAACGAGAGACGTGTAGTGAAAAATCCTGACTAGACGGAGTTCAGATACTCCAGTGTTTCCTCACACCTCCTCCTCCGGTTTCCTCACCCCCTCCTCTCCCCCCGGCGTCATGTGAAGGCGGTGTCGTGTGCTTGCGATCGTGTTTCTGTCTGTGTGGTAGTCGTTCAGTCAGGCTCGCGGGGGRGCCGCGGCGGACGCGCGCCCCTCCCTCCAGGAGCAGAAGCAGTGACGAGGCTACCTCCGCCGCTGACGTCCACGCGCCGGCCTCCACTTCCTGTCACGTGGCCGTCGCCTCCAGGTAGCTCTGTAGTTTGCGGACAGTGGACTCGTCCAGTGAAAAGAGGTCAAAGTCAAAGGTGGTGTTTGTTACGTTGAAGTGGCCCGTCTCCTCAATCAGGTTGACAATCTAGAGAGAAAAAAAAAGACATTTAAAACCCGAAGCTTGTTTTGTTGCTGTTATTTTATGCTTGTTTGATTTTATTTATTTATTTTATTGCTGTAAAGCACTTCACGTTATACACACTACTTTATAAACAGGTGTGTAACAACTGAGTACATTTACTTTGTAAAATTATAGCTCCTCAAAAAATAACTAAGTATTTTTTTTAATCACAACTTTCACTTTTATTTCGTTAAAATCAAAACCTAAGATTGATACTTGTACTTATTTACGCAAAAGTTTAACACCATGATGAATAAATGTATCGCATTAATCAAGAATCTGAGAGTAGAAAGAAGGTAAATTGTTACATTACTTATAAATAAGAAGAGATAATTGTGATGCTGCTGGAGACGGGGTGGGTTTTAATAAGTTTCTCTTCTACATACGCCTTTGTACGGAGCCCGCGAGGTGACATGGGGAGATTTTTTTTTCTTTTGCGTTCCCACACAATACTTTTGCGTAACCTCGCAATACTTTTGTGTTACCTCGCAATATCTTTACGTTACCTCGCAATCATGGTGTTAAACTTTTTCTGCGAGGTACTTTTGTGTTACCTCGCAAAATTGTTTTGCGTTCCCACACAAAAGATTGTTTTGTGTATGAACTGAATTAAATCAGACTTTTATTTTGAAATATCCGGTTAACAAAACAGGATGTGTCGCCACAAGTTCGTGAAATTGACAATGATGTTGCGTGGCTGCACTGTGTTCAAATATTGGCACATGACATACTTCCATGCGTGGCTGTGTGATATATTCATTCTGAAGCTGAATTAAAGCAGTAGGCTAACTTGCTAATGGTGAACATGTGAGTTTGTTAATAAACCGGCAGGCACAACAGTGATAAACTACTATTGCGTGGAAACGCAAAAGAAAAAAATCTCCCATGTCCGCTCGCGAGCTCCGTACCTTTGAACGTTTGTCACTTATTCAATTACTGTCATTTCATTTTAATTTATAAGGTTCAATTAACTTCAAAATATATATATTTTTTCTTTTGCGTTTCCACGCAATAGTAGTTTATCACTGTATTTTATATATATATATATATATATATATACGTATATATGCTTATTTATTCATTAAATTTAAAAAAATAAAACAAATTCACATACAAAAAAAATACTAATCAAATTATATGAAAGGTAGCAGAAAGAAGAAAAAAAATCTTATATCTGCCCCTATAAATACAATACAAAAAACAAAAAATACAAATGATACTTTTACTTCTTTACTCAAAAGTTTAACACATAATTAGACTTTACAAATTTAAATATGACCAAACTCATCATGAAAGGAGTCGTTTACACCAGAGGTTCTCAAACTGGGGTCCGTGAGCTGTATCTCGGGGGTCCTCAAAAATTTCAATAAGTTGTTAATTTGTTTTTAATTTAAAAATATGCATATGGGGAACGATGCACTAGTAAACGAAACACACTAAACCAAACAAAAAAAATTACTATTTCCATGGAATTCAGGGTTTAAAATGACAGTAAATTGTTTTTAAAACAGAATGTAGTTTATGAGGGGGGTCCCTGAAAAATTTTCACCCTTGTAAGTGGTCCCCAGACCCGAAAAGTTTGAGAACTCCTGATTTACGCACTCTAAAAATGTTGTGTTGAATTTATTTAACCAACTAGTTCCACTAAACCAAGTAAAGCAATTTCCACACTTCCTTTAAAAGAAAATATGTAAATTGTTTTACATTTACTTAACTCGGTTTAACGGAACCAGTTTTGTTAAGTAAACTCAACGCTTTTTTCTTAGAGTGTGCGTAAAAGTATTTTTACTTTCCCGATTACTGTGAGCAGTTTCATGAGTTTTTACTAAAATACTTTTCTTATTACTGACATTCRTTTTTACCAAAATCCTTTTCTGTGAAGGTATTTTTACCATTATTTCAAGCATTTTATATACCTTTACAAAAGTTTTATTTGGTTTGACTTGTAGRTGCTACTGAATAAAAAGATAGCTACTTCCATTTAATAAAAGCTAGTTCAAAATAAAAGTACAATAAAAATACAATTCAAATCTAATTACATCAAGTTGTCTCAGTTCAAAGCAGATTGTTGTGGTTTTAGAATCGTCTTAKAAAAATAAAACCATTGCATCTCTAATTCTCTTTAAAGTTCACGCTAATAAAACAAACATTTTCCCAAGTGAGATTTAAAATACTTTCAAATATGACRAATAAAGTACTGACCTGCTGTAGTACGTTGCGCTCCCTTAAAGCCATCAGTCTGCGGTGGAGGTCCACCAGCTCCTCGGTGTAGGCCTGCAGGATTTACAAAGAGTTGTGAGAAGTGAGTAAACGCTTTAAAAAATACAATTTAAAAAAACTGAACATAGATTTACTTTACATAAAGTAAATTATCCAAAGTTCATCTTCATTTTAAGATCAACCCTATGCAACGAAAGAAAGCAATTTATTCCTGCAGCGTGAGAGTTTGAGCATAAAAAAATAAAGTTTGATTTACCCTTCCTACCTTGTCGTATCCCTTCTTGATCACCTTCTCTGAGCGAAAAGAGGAATCTGGACTCTTTCGGACGACCTGCAGGATAAAAACCAGAAAAGAAGGAAAAGAAAAAATGAAAACGTGAAAAACACCACGTCCAAAATATCATCTGAGACCTGTATTAAAGCTAAAATGAACAATGAAGGAAAAAAACAGAGCTTTTTTTATTTATTGTGCATTTTTCTGTTTTCYGCCTGGACATAAAATAAGAAGCACATTTAATTCTCAGCCACAAACGAACAACAAAACACGACAGTGTGTGAACCACACTCAGCACCAGTTACAGGAGGTGATCTTTTGTGTCGTCTTATCGCTCTCTCAGATCACCAACCATGTTTTTTCTTCACTCTTCTTTGAAACGTTGCTCAAGTTTTGTCAGTTTATGCCCCGTACTCTAAAGGTCTGACTCAACTCAAAACATGCAAAACTGTTTACGTCTGAAAACAAAATCCACACAAAAACACTTTTTTCACTGTTACACTACAAATAATTAAAGAGCCTCACTTGTAGTTTAATTGAGTTCAAGTTTATTATTAATACTTTGCTTTAAGGTCAAACTCAAATCTCCGCTCAGTGAAAGCAGAGAGAAACGGGGTTGAGTGTGCGACTCACTTTGATGTTGGAGGAGCTGTGTTTTTGTGGGGGAGGGGCGGGGTCTCGGCTGGGGCGGTGCGAGCCGTCACTGCTGTCACTCTCGCTGTCCAGGCTGAGTCTGGCAGGGGCACAAGGTGAGGTCAGAGGTCATTCACACAGACTGATGGACTGACAGGACGTCTGGGCCTGCTGCTCAGTCTCATTTATAGAGGTCAGCGTCTGGACTCAGCGCTAACTTCTGGACGCTAGCAGGGTTAGCTAATTGAATCAACGTTGGTCCTGAAGTGAAATATTAGCTGTGACGTGTAAAATATCTATTTCTGGTGCAGAATTCTGCCTAAAATCTCCAATCAGGAAGGGGTTTAAGCTGGAACTGACCGAGAATCGCGGTTGGGCGGGTTGGTCTTGATGGGCGTCTCTTCTTCAGAGCTGCTGTCGTCATCGTCCGACTCCTCCGACTGGATCTGTTCCACCATCGATCGCAGGGGCCCTGAGGGACGAGCACCGCATCACAAACACCAATTTTGCTAAAGCTGTGGTCCAAAAAAGTGATTTTCATCTTCTAAAATATATTTAATAGACATCTGTAAACATGCAGTGTTGTTTTTTGTTTGTTTGCTAGTTTTTTTCCTCAGAAGTGACGTGTGCCTTCGTACCTTAAAATAATCCATCATTTAACAATGAAATGAACTGTACCTTGTCCTTGTTTCTGTCCCGGCTCGAAGTCMGAGTCTGAAGTGGAGTCAGAACTGGAACTGGAGTTGGAAGGACTCGAGGGAGCCGACTGCTGTGAGTCAAAAAGCAAAGCAAAAGTTCAAAAGACTGAGCAGAAGAAACAGTAATTAAATAATAATGCAGTTTTGCAACATATTGCTCCATATCGATAGAAAAATGACAAATAAATATGAAGAATTGTTCATGTCTGTGTTGTAGTTTTCAAAGTCTGTTTGCGCCTTCAGAAATTCTCTCTTTTAACTAGTAGTAGTTTTTTGTTTTTCCTTTCAAATGAAATATATATTTAAAAGAAAAAAGAAGAAGAAAGGA